CTTGGAAACTATTAAGGGCCATGATATTGTCAAAAACATTACCAGTAAAATACTGGTCAGGTTTCTGGGAAAGATAAAGGCAAGTCATTACATGATGTCAGCTGTATGTCAGCTATAAAGTGGAGTTGATACTGAGGTTATGCATTATTCTCAACTAAGGTGTTTTCTTTCCATAAAATAATTACTGTAGCTAACATATACTAAGTGTTAATTCTATGTCAACATTTTTCATTAATAAACTCTTTTAACTTTGACAAGAGTCCTATAAAGTAAATTTCTTCTCACCATCCCATCCCCCAGTACAGGTCCTACAAGTAAGGAATTGTTGTTAAGTGTCTTTGAGTCAGTTCTGACTCACAGTGGCCTTGTCACAAGGTTTCCCAGAGCTGCTGGTGGGTTTGAACCACCAACCTTGTGATTAGCAGTTCAGTGCTGATCCCACATCACCACAAAAGACTTGGTTGGTAAGTACCTTCCAGTGGGTTCAGACTTATAGTACCCCGTATAGGATTTCCAAGGAGCTGTTGATGAACTTGAATCACTAGTAATCCAGTGTTATTCCTCAGTGCCACGCCAGGACTCCACAAAAGAACTGTTGTTGTTGTTGTTAAGTGCCATTGAGCTGGATCAGACCCATAATGACCCTGTATAGGGTTTCGGCTGGTGAGCTTGAACCGCAGACCTCTTGGCTCAAACCAACTTTGCAGTCCAGAGCATTAACCCACAATACCACACAAAGGAACTAGATCTAGGGATAATTGACTTCTCAATTTCTTTAACTAGTCAGGGTGGAGTAAAGATTTGCATCAAGGCACTCTGATTGTAGTCATTGTTCTTAGGGTTACCATGGTGATGGCCAAAGAACCCTCAAATCCCAGGTAAAGAACTGCTAATTTCTAAGAGAACAGCTAAGGAAGCAGCAGGGGGAAACTTGATAGAAGAGTCTAGATAGTTTACATTTTTATAGGGTTTAGAATTGCGTCCGTATTGAAAAGTGAATGCCCTGCTTAGGATCTAATTTGAACCAAGTAGTATTACAGCATTTCAAACTGGGAAATTCCATGCAAACGATTCAACAATGTTTACCATATACATTTTGAGTAACTGGCTATGCAGTACTCAGACTTCAGGCAAGTTTTAGGAAGAGATATATCTCAACTGAGAAACAGTCTAAAGTAATAATAAAAACTCTAGTTTTCTTCATTGATTCTGTTAATATGAAATGGGTATATATTGAAACATTTAGTCATTTAGTATTACTCAGCATGCCTTTTATAAAGACCACTCTGCATGACTTGCATGCTTAAAACCCATTTTTTATTCAAATGCCTTACAGTCATCCTAGAAAATGAATTCTAGTACTATTGCCCAATTTAAGATAAAAAAAAAAAAAAAGACACAGAGACTATACAACTTAACCAATTAGTCTGTTGTTGTTGTTCTGTGCATTGGAGTTGGTTCAGACTCATAGCGACCCTGTACAGGGTTTCCAAGGCTGTATATCTTTATGAGAGCAGAAAGCCTCATCTTTCTCTCTTGGAACAGCTGGTAGTTTCGAACTGCTAACTTTGAGGATCACAGCCAGATATGTGATGTTATCAGTGGACCAAAATCTCTCTAAATCAAATTCTAAAGCGATATATAT